GTTCCAAATTCGGTCTTCCTGTAGTACTGTCAAAGATCGCACTACCTCCCAACTCGGGACTTGCCAAACGGGTTTTCGGTTCTTCCGGTATCTTGGATTTATTATGCCAAAGCTCCCATTCTAGATGGTGTGACCTTCATAAAAATTGTTACCAGAATGACGATATACAAATAATATATATATCGCTGTTACAGGTGCGAATACAAATAAAAAATTTTTTTACTATTTAATTTCTTGGGGGGTCTACATAAATATGAATGCTATTTTCATTGGGGCTAGTAGTAAAGTCTTCAGAAATTCTAATCATTGGTTTAAAAATATTACTACCAGCAGATAAACAAAGGGTGATTTGAGTAGAAGAGATGGAATCAAATAAAGGTGCCAAGCATTTTTTTACCATATGTTTGAGCAATTCAAACTTTTTATCATCAGAAATCTCAATTGTAAAAGTTTTATTTTCAGGGTTTCTTCCACTAATGACACAGTTAAGGTTAATAATCACTATTTGAGGAACTCTGCAAGAAATATAAAAGAATCTATAGTAAGTAAAAATTAATTTAGAAATAAAAAATCTTGTATAAACAATATACCTTGAAAATAAATTGCGAATATATAACCTTTGTTTTCAACAGAGTTAACATGGCAAAAATACATATAAGAGCAAAAATAACGTTATTGTTAGATACATAACACCCTCATTTTATGAGACTTATCTTAAGATGAAAACTTGCTTATTTTTATACCACCTATTCAGCTAGATCTAACTTGTTAGAAAAAAAGTTATATGATTAGTAATTGCATTAAAGCAATGCAATCTAGATTACACTATGTAAAGCAAGTCTATTCGGCTATAAGTTTCAAATACTGAATCTATTTCATCATTTTTTAGATAAAATTAAACCTCCTTAGATTTGACGATCGCTACTACGAAGTAAAAAAAGTTGACGATCTGGAAATGGTGGAGATTCTAAGTCCTAGTAACATATGAATTTTGATAAAACTACTGATAAAGAAAGTTGTACTCTTCCCTATTATAGCCCTTTTAGACACGAAGTGTCCTGCTTCGCAGAGTTCCGCGCTTTTTCTTATCGCAGTATTATATATAATAAGAAAAGGCTTTCTAGATATTCGTTATCAAAAATCGACCGTGAGAAATTAGATGCGAAGCATCCTCCTTTCAGGAGAGGTAACACCGCATAAAATTTAATGCAGGCCATTGATTATTAAAGCCGGTCAAGTTTTTATCAACTGATCGCTATTTTAGCGGACCGTTAAGTTGCATTATACAATAAATACTTTATTTTTCTAGCGACGTGTTATGCTAAAATAGTGCACACGTGTGTTTACGATACGTATTAAATTCTAGATAACTGCAGTTAAGCCACTGTTGAAGTGCTGTTGGCTTTTTCTTAATAAACACATATAAAACCGCTAAGCCACTGTTGAAGTACTGTTCAAAATAAGCGAAATTTAAATTATCGAATTTTTGCATGTGTTAAAATAAAGCCACACATGTATTTACAGGTATGTTATTTATGATATTTCTTTGTTCGTATCCACAGCCCTTATTCTAAATTTGTATACTGTATACTGGCAAAATGTTTGTTGAATTTCGTACGTAGACGCATGTTGATTGAACATCTTATACTGATACGTATATGCTTTATTTAAAAGAGTGTGGATATTTATAGCTTATCAGGTAATCTACCCCTTAACGTTAAAAACAAATATGAGGCTAACAATTATGCAAACACGTACAATATCGATATGGGATTAATTATTATGTAAGGCAATAGTGTCCCCTTATATAAATCTTTTTTGTAATAAAATTTTGATTTTTTTTACCGATAATACACTTTCTTCCCTTTTCATACTAGGTTGTTTTTGTGTTGATAAGACGACTTCTATAGCTATTTGACACGAGTTTGCTTCGGCGAGTTGTGGGATTGAACATGCGCACAATCTTCTTGCTTCAACAGAGCAGAGGGCTCAGTGCTTTGGCAATGGTAGTTCGTTTGTTCCGCAAAAATATGCAATCTAGCTGTCTTCTAATAATATAGTCTTCTTCAGTCAAGCAAAAAATTTCGTTTCTAAAGCGATAGGGCCTTTGACTATGTATCTTTTATATTAGAGAAATAATATGGCACAGGGACTCGCATTAAATGGTTTAGGATCCGCGTACTTCCTCCCTTGAAAGCATGTCATATATTTCATTTATTTTTTCTTTCTACGCTTATAAAAACACCATTATAGAGGGCGCGATCGTCAAATTATAATTGTCTTCGTAGCGAGGAGAGGAAGACCCGATGAGCTTCCCGCGGTTTAGTCCACTGAGCTACAAGATGAAAAATAGTTTGAATGTATCCACCTCACTATACTTTTTCTCTGATAGTTATGCAAAAAATTTCGTTTCTGTTATAGAAGCGATAGGGCCTCTGACTTAATATGTTTAATCGATATTCATTCATTACAATACTTCTCGCAAAATTGAATCCAGAATTAAGAAAGTATTAAGTTAATAAAATCTAATAGGTCCTATAATCCGTATAATCGTTTAAAAAATTATAAGTCAAATAATCACT